GGGTGATGGCAGTGGTGTCCGATTTTCCATCCACTCACGGCCTCTGATTAGCTGGAGTTACTCTCAATGAAACTTGTCTGTCTTGTTCATGAGATGGTTCCTATGGGGTGAAGGGCTGCCCTGGGGCCAGGCCGGAGGGAGGAGGGTGGCCAGCATTAGGTGTTTCCAAGAAGATCCTTGATGGAAACAGACAGCCGAGGAAGAGAGAGGGTGGCTGAAGAGAGAGGCAAGATCCCGGGTCGGGTTGGAGGAGGAAGGCAGCTTGTCCAGTGGCTAGGAACACATAAGGGCGTCACACACGTCTCATGTCCCAGCTCTGCTGCTCCTTAGCTGTGTGACCAAAGACAGGTCCCTTTGCTTCTATGATCCTCAGTTTCTCCAACTGTGAAGTGACCATGACTAGGGCTTACTCTTGACGCTGTTGTGGGGATTGGACAAGATAATGTGTATAAAACTCTGCCCAGTACTTCCCACCCAACACATGGAACCCAAGGGGGAGCTTCCGGCCCTCGGTCCCCCCTCAGAGACAGTCTGTTGCTGGGGCACCGTGGTCATTCTTGCTCTGTGACACCTCTCCAGGCCAGTGTGACTCCAAAAAACAGGCCAACCTGAGCTGCATACCACATGAGTAAGGCCAAAGAAGCGTTCCAGCCAGAAGCAAAGACATGATGGTTTGGTCAGCCCAGGGTCACATTCTGGGGGAAAGGCACCATTACTTTTCTACTTTCTGAAGCATTAAAAATTAATCTCGTCCTAGCTGGCTTGGCTCAGTGGATAGAGCGTCGGCCTGCGGACCAAAGGGCGATGGCACATACCGTGGTAGCAGGCTCCTCCTCAGGCCAGCCCTGGTTGGGGCTCGTGCAGAATTTGATTCCGGGCGACGGCACATACCATGGTTGCAGGCTCTTCCTCAGGCCAGCCCTGGTTGGGGCTCGTGCAGGAGGCAACTAATCGATGTGTTTCTCTCACATTGATGTCTCTCTCTCTCTCTCTCTCTCACACCCCTCCTTCCTCCCTAGAAATCAATGGAAAAAATATCCTGGGTGAGGATTAAAAACAAGGAAGTGAAAAGGCTATCATATTTTGCCTTGGCCAGTATTTCACTGTAGATCGAGCATTGGCCTACATACTGAAGGGTCATGGGTTTGATTCCCAGTCAAGGACTCATACCTGGATTGCAGGTTTGATCCCCAGCCCTGGTCTGGGTGCCTGTGGGTGGCAACTAGTCAATGTGTCTCTCTCACATCGATGTTTCTATATCTATCTCTCTCTCTCTCTCTCTATCTCTGTCCCTCTCTCTATCTCTGTCCCTCTCTCTATCTCTATCTCTGTCCCTCTCTCTATCTGTATCTAGGATAGTCCTACCAGGATGAAATCTCCTGTGGGTCATGCTTTTCATACCCTCCCACCTTTCCACTTCTCTCTAAAAAAATCAATGGAAAAAATATCCTTGGGTGAGGATTAACAACAAAAAAGTACTCTCCTTACTCCGGGGCTCTCCAGGGAAATTCTCTGTTTTATTGTGTCAGTTTCTTCCTTATTTTGTGGACGCTTGTGTCCTATGTTCATCCTATATTACCAGTTATTGTGGGAAGTGTTTTTATATATTCTTTTCTATAATCTTTATGGCAACTCTCTTAGGTAGGTACTATTTGTCACTGTCTCCACTGTAACAAACGGAGGAGCTGTAGCTAGAAGTTAATAAATGTACGCCAACACCTTTGCTCCTCATCGTGACACTTACCTGTCCTGTGGACAGTCAGCAGAAAAGTACCTAGAGCCCTCAGTTACCCCAGCAACCGGCCCCCAGAATTCCTCAGTGAGTAGGATGCCAAGGTTTATCATAAACCAGTAAGAGAAACAACCATGTGACAAAAGGCCCAGGAGTTGTCATAAAACTCTTGAGGCACAGGGGGTGTCCCTTGTGTGATACATTCCTCTGAGGGTTTAGTGCAGGAAAATATTTGTCTCTCCCAAATCACTGGCTTGATTCTTCCAATCAGACTGTAGCAACAGGTAATTCTTCTACAGATTTTATAAGAACTGAATACGACCCTAGTTGGTTTGGCTCAGTGGATAGAGTGTTGGCCCACCAACTGAAGGGTCCTTGGTTCGTTTCTGGTCATGGACAAGTACCTTGGGCATGTGTGGGAGGCAACCAATGGGTGTGTCTCTCTCGCATCAATGTTTCTCTCTCTGTGTCTCTCCCCCTCTCTTCCACTCCCTCTAAAAATCAATGGAAAAATATCCTCAGGTGAGGGTTCACAAAAAAAGAAGAACTGAATATGCTTTAACTCATTTTGTCCTCCCAATGATCCTAAGAGAGGGGGTTTATTATTATATCAACCCCATTTTCAGATGAAGAAACAGAAGCACAGAGAAGTTAAGTAGTTTACGGTCCCATGACTAGTAAGCGGTAGAGTTGGGCTTCGAAAAACACAGTCTGGTTCCAGGGTCTGTGTTTAATCACATGCTTATAGCTGCAGCTCATCCTGTTTCCCTCTTTCCTTTGACTGCCAGGAGACTCAGAGCCATGGCTTTTGCTCGGTCACAGTTGCTATCCTTAGAAAACTTAGCCGAGCATTTCTGCTATAATTAGTCAACTTTTCATCTTTCTTCCCTGCTTCCCCGCTGGCTTTTGGTCCAGGCTTTCATTACTCTTTGATTTTTTTCTCTTTAATTATTCATCAAATAAGCTTGAGGCTGCAATGGAAACCACCTCAAAACCCTTTTTGGAATTGGCAGGAAATAATGCATCAATGAGATGAACAGAGACTATTTCTGCCCAGCAGAGCCAACTGGACACAGTCAGTGCTGGATGGATGCCTTTTGAGCCTCTTCGGAATGACCAACACCATGCTCCATGATGTGGAAGATCTAACTAACTTGAACTCAAGTCAGTCCCAGTGTTAGTGAAGCTACGCTCACGGCTGTAGTAGAGAAAGCTGGAACTCTCAGTGTCTAAATAACAACAGAATCTAGTTCAATGTCTGTCCCATTCACTCAAGTGACTGAGAGAGACCCAGGCTGGCCAAGGCTCCGCCATGTTCAACATGTGGTTTCCAAGGTCACCCTGACATTGACATCCAGTTGGCAGATGGGAGAAAAAAAGCGAGAGCTTTGAGAAAGCAGACACACTTCTTAACTTGGATTTGGCCTGCGTACCGCACACGTTTTCCCTGCCCGTCTCCCATTGGTGAAAACTAGTCACAGACTCACAAGCGGTGCTGGAAAATGTAGTCTGAGCTGCTTTTCTCCGAAACAACTCTGTGCCTGGAAGGGGAGCATCTTTGGTGAACACCTGGCATTGTTCCAGTTCACAAGGAACTTCACATCACTGAGCCGCTTACCCTTAGAAAGCGGCCCAGAACACCAGGCAACGTGTACGGCGGTCTTCCTTTGTTTACAACAGTGGTTCTCAACCTTCCTAAGGCCGCGACCCTTTCGTACAGTTCCTCATGTTGTGGTGACCCCCAATTTCATTGTTACAAATTGAACATAATTAAAGCATAGTGATTAATCACAAAAACAATATGTCATTATATATGTGTTTTCCGATGGTCTTAGGCGACCCCTGTGAAAGGGTCGTTTGACCCCCAAAGGGGTCTCGACCCACAGGTTGAGAACCGCTGGTTTACAAGGAACCATGCATGAGCAAAATGGATTATTTATAATTTAGACCAACATATTTCTCCGATAGGGGGATGGACTATTATGGGAGAGAGAAAGTTCATCACGATAGGAAGTATTCAAACAGAGGCTGAATTTTCATTTGGCTGAAGCGTCCTGAAGTCAACTAAATACCTCCTCTCTTTTTTTTCTCCCATCTGCCAACTGGATGTCAACGTCAGGGTGACCTTGGAAACCGCATGTTGAACATGGCGGAGCCTTGGCCAGCCTGGGTCTCTCTCAGTCACTTGAGTGAATGGGACAGACATTGAACTAGATTCTGTTGTTATTTAGACACTGAGAGTTCCAGCTTTCTCTACTACAGCCGTGAGCGTAGCTTCACTAACACTGGGACTGACTTGAGTTCAAGTTAGTTAGATCTTCCACATCATGGAGCATGGTGTTGGTCATTCCGAAGAGGCACACAGACACCCATCTAGTCCTTCTAACTTTGAACTTCAGTGCTAGGCTCCATGGTCAACTCTGCCCACCTGTTCTATGCCAAGTTCCAGGTGGGGTTCTGATGACGCAGGAACAGATGAGATAAGGTGCGGGCCCCCAGGTTTCTGACTGTCATGAGTGGAAGCAGGGCTGAGCTCTGGAAACAGGAGACTGGAGCTCAATTCCTAGCTCTGTCGCTTCGTAGCTGTGTGACATTGGAGAGGCCGCTTGGCCTCTCTGGTTCTCACTTTTCCCATTTGCTAAATGCATTCCTTACCTTCATAGATTCTGAGGCCTCAACAATGAAATAGCTTTGGAGCATTTGCAGCACCGTGCCTGGTATGTAATGTTTTTAGGGTGACCTTGGGTGAGTCACTTCATTTTCTGAAGCCTCCGTTTTCTCCATCTGAGGATGGAGTTAATACACTCACATCGCGGGGATGGAAACTTGCTGTGTTGTGGGGTCTGGGGTCTGCCCTTTAGTCTCTTGGCTTCCTCGGGGGTGGGGATGGGGGTGGGGTGAGTGGGTCGCATCGCACCCGGCGGTAAGGACTGAGAGATCGCGGGCGCCATCAGCAGGGCTCGGGCACAGAGCGGGGCCCGGGGTGAGCAAGGACGCGGTTTCCTGGCTGCGCTCCCGGGGAAGGAGGTTTGCGCTGGGTCCCCTCCCTCGGCTGGTCCTGCTCAGGAAATGCGGAGAGAAAGCCAGGAACCAGGCCTGCCAGGCCCGCGGCCCCTCCGCGCCGTCCTCCTCCCCCGG